TTATAACAAATTGTTTAATAACATAATATATTACATAATTAATCATAAATAATTATTAATAATATATAAAACATACATACATATATACAGACACACATAGACGTGTGTAAATAGTATGTGTAATATTAAAAATAATAAATAAATAATAATAATATACAAATATAATAAAATATGTAATAAAACAATATATTAAAGGGGTCATATGATGCTTTTTTAAAGATCATTATAGATAACAATATATAAAATATTATAAAATATTATAATAAAATGTGGTTAATAAAATAATATATTAAATAATGAATCGTATTGGGTAATTTGGATAATATAAATTATAATAATATATAACCTACATAAATAATAATACAATACAATAATAATTAAAAATTATATAAATTGTTTAAAATAATATATTGCATAAAGAATAATATATAAAACAAAAATGAATTTTCTATAAATATAAATATACTTAGAGAAAATATATAAATAAAAACATTCAAAATAATTAATATAATAAAAATGGTATAATACGAAAATATATTAAATAATACACAGACACACGCACATATATGTATATGAATTTAAAATAAAACTATATATGAATATTAATACAGAAAATCATATAATTTATTACAGACAAAATAATTCCCCTGACATTTTATATTCATGGGTATGTGCCCATATGCTCACCATTGTCTAGCTCAGTGATGTAACACTCCTCCACTGCTCCAGATGGTGTGTGCACCTTAGCATCAATCGCCCCTCTCGCTCCGTTCAGCTGCACGGCAAACGAGGCCTCTTGGTTCACCTTCAGACCCATCTCCTGCAGAGACACAGCCACATATTTCGTTTAAAACGGAGTATGTAAAGATGTGCCTTTCTCACTAAGCATATTCACAGTAGCCTACATAACAAATTATTTGCTACTTCGTCATGCTCATTTGTCTTTCCTGAGAAACTCTTCGTGAAGGGAACTGCAAGTACACTTGTCTCGTCTCATGATAAGCTGTCCTGTGCTCTCCATCAAGTGCTCTCACAGTCTCTCAGAGAGTGTGTTGATAAAGGAGCTGCCATCCGCTCTCGAGAGGCCCTGAATCTCACCCGTCCCGCTGCTACAGAGAAAAACAATCCCTCTCCACACAACTCAGTGCGTGAGCGTGTTTGATCTGGAATCACTCACCTGCAGGCTGGTGACGGTAAGTAGGCGGGCGTCATCTGACACTGATGCAATAGGAACAATGAAAGGGCTGTCTGGGATATGCTCATCGTTAAATTTGATTGACACCTCATAGTCACCTGAAATCAAATAAATAAATAAATGAGTGTAATTGAAAATTATTCATAAAATTTAATTGGAAAATTTCTCTACTAAAGCAAACACTACGCTAAAATTAGCATTAGCACTTACCAGGTTCCTGTACTACATAGGCCACCCCACAGGAACCATCCTTCCTGTCCTCAAAGGAAATCTCTGCTTTGCTGGGCCCCTCAACAGCTATGGACAAACCGCCAGCACCGGCCTCACGGGTCCAGATACTGAACTCAGCTAAAAGTCACACAAAAAAAGTTTTTTTTTTAATATATATACTATCACAGTATTTATTAGTATTTTAAATTAGATTTTTTTATATTTTCATTTTCATTTAGTTGAAGTTTTTTAAGGTACTTCAACTTTATTTTAAGTTTGTTGAAAAGCATGGTTATAATAGATAACTAAAATTAAAAGCATAAAAATGGTTACTTTAAAATAAATGTTAACTGAAATAAAATAAAATATAAAGTTCTTTTATTTCAGCTAGTTGCCAAGGCAAATTTTCTCATTTTCATTTAGTTGAACATTTAGTAATGAAATACTAAAACTGAAATAAAAATGTATAAAAACTATATAAAACAAAAGCTAATAAAAATTACAAAAAAAACAACAAAAAGACTAAAACTTTAACTAAAATTAAAATGACACCAGAAAATTTAAAAATAAAAACTAATTCAAAATATTAATTAAAAACTATAATAGTATCTTGACACTATTGCTAATTTTTTTTTATTTTTAAATACATTTTTTCCATCTACTATTTATATTTTATTTTATTTCAGTGAACAAAAATGATTTCTAATAGTTTTAGTTTTAGTTAACAACAATACTGCTTCTTATCTCTTACCTGGAACTCCAGCCACACCCCTGTCCAATCCAGTACCACCAGCCCGAACCTTATGGGCCCCTCCCTCTCCCAGGGGCCCCACAGTGAACTGGAAGGGGCTTCCAGGGACATGCTGTCCCCTGTATTTGACATTGACAGTGTGGGGGCCCATCTCCTGAGGCACAAAACGCACACCATAGGTGCTGTCCTCTCCTTCTATGATCTCAGCATCCTCTGTGTTACCGCTGGGACTCGTCACCTGTGCGGTCATTTCCTGCGTACCTGATTCACCTGAGAGAGAAAGAGGGAAGGGAAAAGAGAAGGGCACACATATTTCACATAAAGAGACATTTCACATAAAATTTCAGGCATTTCTTCTATAAAAGATGATATTTTGGCTGGGCTGCCTGCAGAGTTGAAGGCTGCTCAGATTTTCCAGTTCGGTTCTCCTGTCATAAATGTCTGCAGTGGAAAGAGTGTGCTCATTCCCTCTGAAAACCCCATAAACACACATATACCATGACATCATCACACACACATACACAATAACACAAAAAGAAACTTGTAAGAGCTGCACAACTTAAAGGAGTAGTTCACTCAAAAAAAATAAAATTCTGTTATCAATTACTCATTTTAAAACAACATTTCGGATGAGTAAATAGTAAAGTATATATATATGTATGTATATGTATATGTGTGTGACCCTGGACCACAAAACCAGTCATAAGGGTACATTTTTTTAAACTGAAATTCATACGTCATCTGAAAGCTGAATAAATAAGCTTTCCAGTGATGTATGGTGGAAATATTTAGGATAGGACAATATTTGGCTGAGATACAACTATTTGAAAATCTGGAATCTGAGGGTGCAAATGCAAACAACACAAACAAACACGCACACACACCCTCTGATTGTCGGCCCTGGGCACTGCTGAAGGGTCCCAGCTTCTCCCTGCCCAGAAATCCACCGAAAACATCCCTGAAGGGATCACCCCCCACCTGGGTGCTCTCTTCCACCCGCACTTCCCGTTTGGTCTCGCCAGCACGAGTCTTGCTGATCTCGGTGCGCTCCGTGCACGTGTAGGTGTGGCTGCTGCGTGTGAAGGTACGGGTGAGTCGCTCTTGGGCCGAAACCATCTGAAACCAGTTCCCTACAGACATGGAACCCGAAAGACAGAGGAAGGAAAGAGAAGAAGGAAGAAGAAAGGAAGCGATGAAAAAGGAGAAACAGGAAATGCATGCTTCCAAGCAGAATGGAAACATATTCTGTATTCTTTTTTTTTTTTTATCAAAACTTAAATTCTATATAACTTCATACAGAACCACTCTGATTCAAGACACAGGAAGTGACACGTGTGACAGTGGGAAACAGGTGGGAAAAAGAGACAAACTCTATGTCTGAATATGCCTACAGTAGTAGGTGGAAAATAGTATGTGAGACGAGTAGTATGTCAATTCATAGAACAGTAGGCGAAAACACTTTCGGTGAGATTCTGAAGTGCGCATCTGATGGACACTATACTATCCCATGAGGCCACGGGAGTCAATCATTCTCTCCTCACCTGGAATCTTGAGGTTGAGGTCGCAAGTGCTGCCCACCGTGGCAATAGAGGGCGCCTGCCTCTTTCTGGTTATACTCTCCTTCATTCTTCCCTCACCCAGAACCTTCACTGTAAATGGACTTCCTGTGGAACAACATAAAGAGTTTAAAGGAGTCGCCCACCTCAGAAGAGAAGCATCTTAAAGAGACTTAAGTTTGAGAGCTGTGCTGTACCTGGCACATGTTGGTCAGCGAATTTGATGTTGATGATGTAAGTTCCGGGTTCGGTTGGGCAGTAGGTCACTTTGCATGTTCCGTCGTCCACATCCGAACAGTTAATGTCAACTTTGCTGGGCCCCTCGATGGACAGACCGAGACCTCCATAACCTAAGGTAACCAAGTGGGTTTTGTTGGGGGAAGTTGTGGCCTAATGGTTAGAGAGTCGGACTCGTAACCCAAAGGTTGCGGGTTCGAGTCTCGTACCGGCAGGGATTGTAGGTGGGGGTAGTGAATGTACAGCGCTCTCTCCCACCTTCAATACCACGACTGAGGTGCCCTTGAGCAAGGCACCGAACCCCCAACTGCTCCCCGGGCGCCGCAGCAAAAAATGGCTGCCCACTGCTCCGGGTGTGTGTTCACGGTGTGTGTGTTCACTGCTGTGTGTGTGCACTTTGGATGGGTTAAATGCAGAGCACTAATTCCTAGTATGGGTCACCATACTTGGCCACATGTCATGTCACTCACTTTATGATTTAAAGGGGTCATATGATGCGATGTCAAGTTTTCCTTTCTCTTTGGAGTGTTACAAGTGTCATGGGGACGCTGTGTGTTTCATTATGAAAGCGAAACTACTTTGTTTGGCCTTCCAAAAGAAAACACAACTAGAAATCAGTGGTTAAGTAGTATTTACAACACTGTTCCAGAACAGTTCAACCCAAATATTCAGATGTCCCTTTAATACAGTTAGGAAAAGCAGAGCTAGTACACTTTGATTTTTACACACACGCTAGTGTATACATACAGTATGCATGACATAAATTTACACATGCATACAGATAACGCTAAGCGTTTGTGTCAAATGTATACTGAAGTATACTTCAGGCTTAAGTTTTTTACTGTTGCTCTGCGAAATTTCGTTGTCGAATTGTCATTTCAATAAGAAACCGTGCTATTGAGAGTTTCGCACAATGGCGAAAAAGTTCCCCATGCATATTTTGCATGGTTTAAATTGGTCATACGAAAGTTGCTTGATAAATGTTTGGAATTTAGCTGCCAAAAATTTTTTTCCATTTTACAGTACTGTACATTGTGGAAGCCACAAATATCCTAGAATATCATTTACCTGCACTTCTGGTGTCCACGATGAACTCAGCCACTTCAAAGGTGTGTCCTTCTATCAGTCCTTTCCCAAACACCTTCACCTTACTGGCATCTCCGATCTCAGACTGGCCCACCATGATCTTGAATGGGCTGTTGGTCACGTGTTTTCCATTCTTCTTCACACTGACCACATGCTCACCCACCTCTTTAGGAGTGAAGGATATTCCTGAAGGCAAAGAGCAATGGGAATGAGTTCTTTCTTCAGGTTTATAGAGTATTTTATGGTAGCACCGTCATATCCAGCAAAAAAGATAGGCCTCAGGGTTTGACTGTACATCAAAAGCCTTTTCTGAGCTGATAGTCGATTCTCTTTGAAATCACAGGAAGGAGCTCTTAGTCTCAAATTAGGTTTTAGAGGCAAACACTACAGGCATCACCTCATCAGAAAGTTTCAGAGTTTGATTGCTGACTTTCTTGTTATGAAAAACCTTATAAGTTTATCTAGTCTCTAGAAGTGGTATAATTACTTTCACAGTCTCACAGTCTTCTGGGAAAATGTGCCTAAATATTGGTGACTCATCTTGTTTGCAGGGGTGTACACAAATTTCGATAAGTCCTACCTGAACTTCCTGTTGGAAATTCAATGAGGGGTCTTTAAGAACCCAAAGTAACTGAATCCAATTACAAATAATATGATCCGGCTTATTTATGTTCTGCTTTATCAGCTCAGTCGTGACATATGTAGGTGCTGGCAGGCCTGACGAGTGACTAACCGATGTGGCGGTTTGGCAGTCTCTTCAGCAGGCAGGGCTCCTCGTTGCCAGATGGGGCTCTGATGCTCGCGGTCAGGGAGATCAGGTCCGTCTCTGTGATCTTCAGTGACACGTCTGTGGCCGTGCCAACGTTCAGCTGGGATGTCCTCATGGAGTCATCACCTACATCAAGAATGAGACAGAAATATGTGTATATATACAGTATATATATATATATATATATATACAACTAACAAATATGATCCAGTTTCAAAAATTAAACATTTACTGTGCGGGTGCAACCCCAGTTCTATTGCAAAGAGCAATGTTGTGAGGGGCAAAGTGAGAGTGAGACAGAAGGAGGGGGGAAACAGATACTTCCTGTTTCTAAAAACTGTCAAGAAGTGGCTCCTACTTTTAGAAGCACTTCAGATGCGGTTAAATTCTCCAGGTGTGAAGGCACGCGCACACACATAAACACACACGACAGCTAATTTCGTGATTCACAGACGTTATGGAGAGACATAACTTTGCCCTCTCTTGTTCATCCTCTCTTGTTCATCCTCTCTCTCTCACTCATACCCATATTTGGGCACATACAAAACCCTACCTGTGATCTTGGCTGTAAAGGGGCTTCCAGCGATGTGCTTGTCATCAAACTTGACGATTATATTATAGTCTCCTGGGGCTGTTGGCAGGTAGGACACAGTGCAGGTGCCATCTTTATTATCCTTACAGCTGATCTCTGCCTTAGAGGGGCCTTCCACTGCCAAAGACAGACCACCTGAGAGAAGATGAGAGAGCAATGTGGGAAGTCAAAAGTCTGGCAATGTGAAACTAATGCAATGTGGCTGTGAGGCTGCCAGGCCTGGTGTGTGTATATTACCTTCTCCAGCGTCCTTAGTGACGATTGTGAAGGTGGCGGGTTTGTTGACCATGCCATGACTCAGACCAGGGCCATATGCATTCACATGCCCGCTGTTAATGGCATCTACATAGAACTGCAGTGGACTTCCTGTAAAGGCATTATTAAAAAAGTGTCACTTCATGTTTAAAGATGATCAACATCAAACACAGGATTGATTTAAGAGACCAATTATAGAATAATTATTACATTTACAGATTTTAGAGCAGCAGGCATCTAATTGTTTTGATACCTGGAATGTGATTCCCGTCATATTTGATGTCCATCTCATGTAGGCCCTTCTCGGTGGGGGAATATTTGACCGTCACAGTCCCGTCCTTGTTATCAGTGATGTGAGGACAGGCGGTTTTACCAGAGGGCATATGTACCTCACCTAAAAAAAACAAAAAAACAAAATGCCATCTTTTAAAAGAATGAATTCTGTAGGCATCTGTGAAAAAGATGCACGCTTCATTGCACCTCTAATAGTTTTCTACTTTTTTTATTTGTTTAATAAGTGTTAATACCTGTAATCTCCCCCTTTTGTACAGTAAATGGAATGACCAGATTGAACGGGCGAAGCATTGGCTCCATGGCATCCACTGCAGTGACTAGTTCCTCCGTGGCCTAGAAGAGAAAGAGATTTCAGCATCACTGCACTGCTAACTAAGTACAGTGAGAAGATATAAGTGCATGCAATGGGTTAATGGCTGGAAAACGAAAAACAGACCAGGGCCCAGGCTGGTTGGACTGCAGTAGATGGAATAAATTCATAAAAGCAGCAGCAACAAAGAACCTTGTGCAAAACAATCCCTCTGCAATAGGAGATCAGCAACCTATTCATTAACTCTATGAATGCATGATCAGCCATCTAGCCGTTTAATAAAAAAGACGTCAGCAGTAAAGCTCATGGGAAATGAAGCAAAGATGGATGAAATGAAAAAGTGTAATGACAAAGGCTGAGGAGCAGAGAGCGTTTAGGACGTTATCTGATGACTAGGGGTGGTGTGTACCCAGTGAGGGGTGTAGCCCTGGTAGGGGGCGTAGGGCTGCTGTAACTGTAGTTTATCACATGGTTCCTCGATTATAGGGATGGTATCAGATGCCTGGAGATGGTCACATGTTTAGGGCTTCACACGACACACATTTACATGCAGCTAATTCAATTTGACCCATTGAACTGGAATTGAATTGCTAAGTTAAACATCATCTCAATGAATGAGGTACAAAAAGGTTTTTATTTGGGAGAATTATTATTTGTAAAAACACACCATGCACTGGTAGCCATATTTTGAAATGATTTATGATCATCTGCATTAAAAAAAATACAAATATAACGTACGCTATTGTTCAAAGTCTGGGGTCAGTAATTTTTTATTTATTTTAATATTTAGCACCAGCAAGGATGCATCAAATTGATCAAAAGTAACAGTAAAGACTTTTACATTGTTACAAAAATTATGTATTTAAAATAATTGTTGTTATTTTGAATGTTTATTCATAAGGAATCTTGGGGGGGTAAAATCTTGTTTTCTACAGAAAACATTAGGCAGCACAACTGTTTTCAACAATGATAATAATAAGGAATGTCTCTTGAGCATTAAATAAACATATTAGAATGATTTCTAAGGATCATGTGACACTGAAGACTGGATTAACGTTGCTGAAATTTCAGCTTTGCATCACAGGAATAAATTACATTTTAAAATATATTCAAATAGAAAACATCATATAAATTGCAATAATATTTCAGAATATTACTGTTTTACTATATTTTTGATCAAATAAATGCAGACTTGCTGAGCATAAGAGAATTCTTTCAAAAACAATAAAAAAACTTAGCAACCCCAAACGTTTGAATGGTAGTGTACATTCACAAATATATACAAAATATTTATTATTGTGATATGCAAAAATCACTATTCATACTGCATAGCAACAGAAGGTGCTCACCACCACATGGAAGGGGCTGTTAGGAATGTGCTCTCCTCCAAAGCGGATGGTGATGACGTATTTCCCAGGTTCTGGAGCGGTATAGTAGATATCAAATGTCCCGTCCGCGTTCTCCACCACATCCACGTCTAGCTCTGCCCCGTCTGGAGTTGACACTTTGCAGTTGACCTTCCCCTTCCCAGCAGCCTTTGCATCCACAGTGATAACGGTCTCCTCGCCGATTTGAATAGTAGGTCCGAGCCCAGAGCCTGTCCATGGGACCGCAATCACAACAAAGCTGTTTTACTACACCATTCAGAGAGTTATAGTCTGAATTCATGTACACTCGGCCACTTTTTGCCATTCATCTCAGTGACAAAGAATGGCCTAAACTGATCCTACATAAAAGGCTTGCAAAGTTTAATATAGGTAACTGATGATTTTTTTTAAAAACTCACCCAATCCGTGTCCACCAATCGACACTACAAATCAACAAGAAGAGCTGTTAGAATTCATGATGATCATGCTGAGATTGCATTTTAAGGAAGCAATAAGTCACATAGAGACAGGTGTAACATAGACGTCTACAACTTACCTGTCACAAGGCATTTGCTGGCATCTCCACTGGGCAGAGCATGTATGCGGTAGGGGGAGTATGGGATCTCATCTCCGCCATATTTGATTGTAATAGTGTAGCGTCCTGTCATATCTGGGACGTAGGACACGGTGTATGTTCCGTCTCTGTTATCTCGAATGTTTGCTTTCTTTGGTTTTCCTTCTGGGTCCTGCGAAATTAATGAGTTGTTATAGTGTGTTCATGCAAATGTAAATGCATGTGTGTCTATATATTCATTGGCTCTTGTAAGCCTGCATATAGAAATCCGATTTCTCATTTGAATACAACAACGTTTTAAATAATTGCTGAAATAAATGTAGCCAATATTCAACAAGGCAATATTCCTCATACAGATTACATAGCAAGCATCTCTGACTGTTAGTCATGTAGTGGAAAACCACATGTAGGGTTTTATTCTAAATCTAATGACAGGTCAGTCCACAGAGACCACTAAAGGGCAACATTAAGGGTATCAAGTCCCCTTGACTGCAACAAAATGATCAAGTATGGCTGCCTGGGAGAAAGGTTCACTCTCACATTCAAAAACGCCACTTTTGTGCAAGACAAAGCTGTTTCTGGATGCTTTTGCATGTGTGCAGTTTGGTTTTGGTTTGAGTGAAGTTTTCTCCCTTCCTTTTCAAAATGGAAAGTAGTATGATTATTAAAAAAAACAAGGATCACCCTCAAGAAATTACGATTCCCAAGTCACTTCTGGCACTTCAGTGTCAAAGGAATGTGGTATGAACCAAGAGGACACAAAAAGTGACGTGAAAAGAGAGAGAGAGAGAGAGAGAGAGAGACAGACAGACAGATAGACAGATAGCTAGACATATAGACAGATTAGATAGATAGATAGATAGATAGATAGATAGATAGATAGAACAAAGGCATTATTAGGGAATGAATTCAGAACTAGGGGATAACAAAGGCAAAACTGGAGAACAATTAAGGAGAAAAGCAGCCAAAGGAGCAGGGGAACTGGGGTAGGGAGTACAGTAGCAAGGGGACGATCCATGAGCACTTAGGGGCCCAAGGCTAATGGGAGGGACTCCAGACATGGTGAGTTATAACAACAAGAGGAGGCCGAAAGGAGGGGCCGCCTTACACATCCTTTCCTAAGAATATGGAAGGGGATGGTTCCCTTTACAATGTGGTTCTCCCACACCCTCCTACCCCAGTCCTCCACAAACACAGAGGCCTCTTGCCTGCACCCATCCGGACCCTACAGTGACAGCAGGGAAGGGGTCAGAGGTCAGGGCAGAGGGAAGCGGAGGGGGGACAGTGGCCGTTAAAGCACATGTGATCATCAAGGGAAACCTCTGTCTTAAAACATGTATAAAAAAAAGAGAGAGAGGCCTGAGCGAGTGTTGATGTTACTCACCAGTATCTGTACAGTAAGAAGACCCTCGCCTGCGTCACGGGCATCGATGGTGAACTCCACCGGCAGGCTGGCGGGAACCCCGGAAGCGTTCAGTCCAGGACCGCTGGCACGGACTTTACTGGCATCATGAGCAGGCAACACCTTGATCTTAAATGGACTAAAAAGGGGAAAACAGAAGAACAAACACATGTAATCATCACATGCTACTTTTATTTGGAAGTGTTCTTCTTTCTAAATCAGCTCTGAAGATTTTGGTCATAGTCTATTCACTTCATTAATATTTTATATTAATATCAAATATAATATTATATATTATAGGCTTTATTAATACTTTAAGCAGCCCGCTTACCTGCGTGGCACTTCTTGGTCTGCATATTTGACACACACAGTGTACGGTCCATCTTTAGTAGGAGTGTAGATCACCGTGTGTGTGCCATCACCATTGTCTGTGATATTCACCGGCTCTGTCACACCTAGAAAAACAACACAGTTGATCTCTCTGCGTGCCTGTCATCTAGTCTAGACAACTGTAAAACACTCTTGATGAATGTGTCTGCAGGCTTCATATGGGCATCACTGAATGCAAATCCAGGACTTTTTCCAGCAGCAGTTTGTCATTTTCAAGGTCATCACAAACTAATGTACAAACGTGGAACTATAGCTATGGTTTTTGTGTCCCTTCACTTACAGTCATTTATAACCTAAATATGATTTAGATACAATTTAAATAACTGTTTTCTAATTTAATATATTTTAAACATAATTTATTCCTGTGATGAAAAAGCTGAATTTTCAGCATCATTGCTCTAGACTTCAGTGTCACATGGTCCTTCAGAAATCATTTTAATATGCTGATTTGGTGCTCAAGAATCATTTCTTTTTATTATTTATGCTGAATAGCAGTTGTGCTTCTTAACATTTCGTGGAAACCTTGATACATTTTTTCAGGATTCTTTTACTAATAGAAATTTCAAAAGAACAGCATTTGAATTTGAAATCTTTCATTACTTTATAAGTGTTTTTGCTGTCACTTTTGATCAATTTAATCCATCCCAGCTAAATTAATTTCCTTAAAAAAAAATCGTACTCTTTGAAAAGTAGTGTACAATACTAAAAGTTCATCGGATGTATAAAAGCTATTTAATAAATCCAAAAGCCACCAAAGTTCCATTAAAACATGTACTGTAGTTTAAAAGCTTTGAAAATGGCAACATTAAATGCTGAGAGGGGAACACTGCTAAATCACTTATGATTTATAGATATTAAAAATTAATATGCATATAAACCACTTTCTCAGGTTTGCTAAACACATACATATATTCTGTTAACATTTTAAGCCAGTCTTCCTGGTATACTAGTACTTACATTTCTAAAACCTAAATTGCACTTATATACTTCAAGGACTTTGTCCAAACTCTGTGTGTTTTTCCAGTCTACTTTCACCTGTAGGTCCATACAGCAGCACCTCCAGTGGGGCGAGTCCAGCTTTGCTGCAGTCCACGGTGAAGGTCTGAGGAACGTGGGCTCTAACTCCACTGCCCAAACCAGGACCAGAACACTTCACCTTACTAGGATCCACCAGCTCCCTCACAGGCACCCTGAATGGACTACCTAAAAACCCACAGAAATTGTACAGTTGCTTTTTCTTCATAAAATGCAAAAACAGACCCTGAGGTATGAAATATTCGAGCATTAACTCAAACTGTCATGATTATTAGCTTTCAGACGTCTTAACACTCATATTCTCAAACTGATGAAATTCAGTGTCAATGCATAATTAGTGTGTTGAGTTCAATTAGAAACAAACCATGGAATGAGTTAGACAGAAGGAAATTACATCATACCTGGGATAGGCAGACCTCCGAAAGTGATGTTGACGTCATATTCTCCAGGAGTGAAAGGAATATACTCCACGCTACAGCTGCCATCTTTGTTATCTTTACAAGACATCTTAGCTTCTGATGGACCCTCGATAGCCAATCCAAGACCACCTGTGCCAGCACCCCTAAAAGAGAGGAAAATACAGACATGGGAGAAAACATAAGTTACAGTAAAATCTAAAAATAGTTATGTACTTATATTCAGCTCTGTTCAAATCCAGTCCAAAACATGTAAGATACAATGTTTAAACTAGTAAACCAGATTTTATTTACACCAAAACTATTCATATAGGGTTCACTGCTAAATTTTCGTCACTCTCAGTGAATGGCATTGAATGGTTGGTGAATTTTTTTTATTGACGAGACTTATTGTTTTTGACTCAACGTTTACAAAATAGACCATTCCAGAACACGTTCATGTTCAACAGCAGGTTTTCATAGAAATATGTACCTGGTTTCCACAGTGAAGCGGTTGGGTTTGTTGACCAGACCCTCTTCCAGACCGGGACCGTAGGCACGTACACGGCTGGGATCACAACCTTCGGTTACCGCCACCCTAAACGGGCTCTTGGGGACAGGTACGTCATCATACAGCACCTCTATCAGATGCACACCTGCACAAAGACCAAGATTACAGCACTCTTTCATCTATAAATATTACGCTGGAAAGTACTTTCTCATTCTGGCAAGCTCTAATTTGATTGGCTGGCTGTAAGGGTGCCTCAGTGCATCTTATCCTGCTTAAGAACTGCCTTCTTTGATGGGAAGAGTGTGTGACTATACAGAGAGGGACAGGGTTTTTTTTCTCTCAATCGATAATTGTGAAGGAATATTATCAAGGCATCATGGGAAAACAGACATCAGCAGTCTCTTCTCAAAACACAATAAACAATTAATTAATTTTCATCTCACAACATTGACCTCCACACAGAACAATCAATACAGCAGCCGTGCTCAGAATAAAAGACAGCTCTGAGTGTGTGTGCCTCATGATTCTCAGGGAGGAAAGGGAGGTTCAGTTCAGAAAAAAATGCCAACATGGCCTGTTAAATTAATGAAGACTGGGGCGGAAACAGGACGGCTTCAGTCAGCATGAAGTAAGAAAATGACAGACTTTAAGCAAACTATATAATTTTCAGTTATCCTGTCAACCCAAAGTGCATGAATAACATTTTTCTGACAGAGAGAAAGACAGAATTATGGCCTGGTCTGGTTTTACTGCCTACAGACCCTGGATTGCGGATTTTCACTTTTTACAATTTCTAGTACTATTGATAATTTGATCTTTCTGTCTCATGGACAATAAATGTCCTAAAACAACTGTAACTTCCAAAGTAATGGACACCAAAAGAGTCAAGCTTAAAAACTCCATTAAGAATATGCCCAAGAATATGCAAAAGAAAATAAATAAATTAGATGACTGGAATTTTTTGAGGGCTTTTATTTTAGTTTTTATTTGTAATCCGATTACTGTAATATAGCCATTTTTGTTTAATTTAAATTTTAATTTAATTTAATCACTAAAAATGTTTGTGTGTTTCATCCCAATGAAAAATCAATTCAACAAAAAACATACGTTTTTTTTCCCTATGTACTGAATATCTTACCATCCTCATATGCTGTATATTCCACTCTGTAAGTGCCATCTCCTTTGTCGGTGGTGAACGCATCAGTGTTGGCACCTGATGGGTTAACAATACGAACTTTGATGTGGTTTCCACCCATCTTGCTGTGAACCCGAGTGTCAACGACAAAGTGTGTAGTGACCTCTCGGAGTACCCCTGTGAAAATATACCAAGTTTTGAAGCACATTGCTGAGCACATTGGTACTAAACACAAGCACATTTAGATGGGCCTTCTTACCTCTGGGTTCCACTCCTGGACCGTAGACCTTGATTCCGCTGGTATCGAGAGCAGGATCTACCTGCACCCTTGCAGGGAACTTCGGCACGGCGTGTCCTCCATATTTAATCGTGATGGTGTACATTCCGTGGAAAGGAGGGATGTAGGTGATAGAATATGTTCCATCGCTGTTATTCTGCACATGAACCTCAGCCTGCGCTCCTGAATCTGAAATAATTTCAATGGTCAACTCCGCCTCGCCTGCTTTAGAGCAGTCCACCGTGAACGACGCAGCTTCGTTGACCTTTCCTCTCTCCAGCCCTGGTCCGCTAGCTGTGACCTTGCTGGGGTCAAAGACAGACTGAACCATGGCTTTGAATGGAGAACCAGGGATGTGAGCATCAGCAAACAGGATGTTAATGGAATACTCTCCAGGCTCAGTGGGCAGATAGGACACTGAGCAAGATCCGTCGCCGTTGTCCTGGCACTCGATCTTGGCTTCACACGGGCCCTCCACAGTCAGCCCGAGACCCCCTGTACCTGCACCTTTGGTGTCGATGGCAAATGGAGCGGGTTTACCCACAATACCTCCCTTTAGGCCAGGGCCGTTGGCTCGCACCTTGAAGTGAATGTAAGACAAAACTATGGTCAAATTGCATTTCAATAACAAATCAAAATGGAATTCTAATCAGAAATAATCAGAAATTTAAAAAAGTCATACAACCTGAAAGAGAACCAGAAAATTTAATACTTTAATATATTTAAATTATACATGTGGTACACGTGGAAAGCAGAATAACTGATTACAGAACTTTGAAATATTAAAAATTGATGTACATCTAAGGTGAAATGGCCACTCCAGGTGTGCATCGAAATTTCAATAATTCAACAGTCCAACATGCTTTAACAGTACTAGAGGACAGTCCAACATTTTTCAGAGCCGGACGGCCTTCATCATCCGTATCCATTTATGGCCAGAGATCTGTATCTGTTTCAGTAATGTACAGACCAGCTATCTAATGATTCTCAGTGACACCTTGGCCCAGTGACAGAGAATGGAGCAGCCATTCCACATGTAGATAAAGTACCTTGTTTGGCACACTACATTTGAGTTCACCTTTCCCTGACAGATTAATTAAACACAACTGTCCTCCTGTAATAATTTCCCACAATGGCTAAATGGCCTTTTGTGTTTGTTTTAGGCTTCTTCATTGGCAGAGCTAATATACTAACTAGAGCATCTGGCTCAAGGAGAAGAAAAACCCTCACTGGAACAATTCAGCCATGTAGACAACAGGCAACAAACAAAAATTAAATTAAATTAAATTAAATTAAAATAGTTTGACTTTGGAACCAGCATTCCCGGAGTAAACCTCTACAAACAGGACATTTCGTTGCACGAAGGTTTAAGAAAAGTTGTTTCATAAAATCTGGCTCTAGTTTAGTTTGAACATTCTGACTCTGGTTAGTGGCCCATAAACTCTCTGAAGGTCTTTCTGATTTGTGAGGTAAAGATTGCACGGTACAGTCCAATTTCTCTTGTTACTCCTAAAATACATTCCATGTTTCTCCTCATATGGAGAGCTTTATCATCACAGCCAGCTCTTAGTATGTTTGCAGCCCTCAGCTTGAGAAAGAATCCATGAATGACTTGAAATGTCAAGCCTGTATCTCTAATGAGATCACTTAGTTAGCTAATGTTTTCCAATCGAAAGTATTTGCAGTAATCATGAAAATTCAGTTCAATAAGACAATGACGGGTAAACAAATGAATCACATTCTCCTATTTGTGACTCTTACCTTTGAGGGATCTGGAGGCATCACTCCCTCCACCGTGAAAGGACTTCCAGGCACGGGGTTTTCATCATAGCTGATGTCCACTTTGTAGGGCCCCTCTTCGGGGGGAATATACTTAACAGTGTGCACCTCACTGGATGCTCCAGATTCAACCTTGCAAGGGATTGGTCGGTGAGAAGGTGAGGGAATCTTGACGTCCACTTTTCCTTGACCTCCCGCGCCACGTGTGGGGTTTCCATCATAGCTGATGTCCACTTTGTAGGGCCCCTCTTCGGGGGGAATATACTTAACAGTGTGCACCTCATTGGATGCTCCAGATTCAACCTTGCAAGGGATTGGTCGGTGAGAAGGTGAGGTAATCTTGACGTCCACCTTTCCTTGACCTCCCGCGCCACGTGTATTAATGGTAAACTCCTCATCTTTCCCTACATCCACTTCTAAACACACAGGCACACAAAATATGCACAATAAATACAATCAACACAGCTACAATTTTTATTTCACACACAAACTGCTGTGGACTTACTGTTGTTGAGTCCTTGAACTTTGACTTTGTTGATATCCAAAGGAGGAGCAACAGTGATGGTAAAAGGGCTTTTGGGGATGGGGTCACCGCCATGGCACACAGATATGCTCATGTTACCCTGAATCACAAAACATACAGGACTGAGCAAGATAGAATTTATAATAGTCATAATATCATGTGACCTCTTGGTGTCTATTTATAAGAACAGCAACCCAGTGTTGGAATGTCTCACCTGCTGTAATGCAGTGTAACGCACAGTGAAAGAATAGTCGTGGTTATCAATGATCTCAAAGTCACTGACGGCTTCTCCTTTCCCAGCTGTGGTGAAGTGAACCTCAGGCGTGGCCTTGCCTGCTCCTTTAGTGTAGATGGTGAAGTGGGTCGGCTTGCCCACTTCCACACCTGTGACAGAGACACATAACATGCAGATGAGATGAGATGAGCTGTCTTTACTTACTTTTTTATCATTTCTGTCACTGACAATCAAACTTACCAGTCTTGTTGAGTCCAGGACCCTCTGCTTTCACCTTATTGGCATCATGGGATGGATCGACTTTGATACGGAAGGGGCTAATTGGAATTTCCTGTTAATTCATGAAAAAATGCATTTATAGACCTCAAATTGTATAGAGAAAGAATTGATATTATTGACTGAGACTCACTTGATCAGCAAATAGCACCATGATGGTGTAGCGTCCAGCTCCAGGAGGTGTATACTTCACTGTGAATGTGTCATTGTCATTTTTAATGATGTAAAAATCAATATCTGCTTCAGCAGGTCCCACCACGCCAGGAGCACACTTAATCCCAATGCTGACATCTCCTAAGGTGTCAGAACAGATGGGAGAAAAGGAATCATCGTCCATTTCCAAATTTGACCATAAATTGACCACGTTTGGATAATGGTAGCAATCATGTTTGCTCTGACCTTGTCCAGCCTCGCTGCAATCCACAGTAAAGTATGTGGGTTCATTGGCCTTCAAGCCAGTCTTCTCCACTCCTGGTCCATGAACCTTCACTTTCTCTGGGTGACTGCCTTCTCCAATGGTTACCTGAGAAATGTAGAAAGACCAGAGTACTGTAAAACTAGAAATGTAAAGCTTTTGGAGGACAGTGGTTCTTGTAAAGTTATAATCCAATATGAAATCTATGCTCTAACATGGTCATGTAAATGGAAATTTAGAAATCTAACACCAGAAAAATATGGTCATGAACTTTCATTGAAAGGCTGAGCTTGTAGTAGATCCAGTTTTTGAAAGTTCTTGACAAACAGCAAAATAAAAATGTCATCAACTGGCTGAAGTCTGCCTGTTGACAGTGAGCTCTCACCCTGAATGGACTATTGGGAACGTTGACCTCTCCCCAGGTGATGATGATAGTGTGTTTGATGGGCTTGGTGGGTATGTAGACGCAGAAATATGTGCTGTCACCGTTATCTGTGATCTGGATGTTGATGGGGAAGCCTTCTGAGTCCTTGAATAAAAGATAGACAAAAACTTTTTGTACCAGTGAAGTGAGGCATGAGGGATCTGGGATTTGAATGAAAATGTACCTGAGCGTAAATCTGTAGATGTCCTCTTCCAGCTCCACTGGAGTCAATTGTAAATTCTGCAGGTTTGTTTACAATGCACCCAGTTGGTTCTAGCCCGGGGCCGTAGCACTTAACCTGCATAAAAACATGAGTTAGTTTAGTTACAGCTGTCATTTAATATTGCCAACGAATGTGCGATCAATATTGCCAATTATCACAGGGCAGACCTTCTCAGGGAAGACGTCATTGGCTGCAGGGAGGATGTGGGCCATGAAGGGGCTGTCTTTGATATCTTCATCATCACAAATGACATGGACCGCATAGTCACCAGGCTCGGTGGGCCAGTACAAAACATCACAAGATCCATCTCCCTTATCATCACACTCTATCTTAGCCTGTGAGGGGCCTTCGATGGAGAAACCTGTGCATGGAATGAGTTTTCAACCATTACACAGGCATCTTATCACACCATAAAACAAGGGTTGATAGTTCTAGCCCTCGAGGTCTACTTTTCTGCAGAGCTTAGCTCCAAACTTAATCAAACTCACCTGCCTGTAACTTTCTCATAACCCTGAAGGCCTTGTTTAGCTTATCCAGGTGTGTTTGATTAGGGATGGAGCTAAACTCTGCAGTAAAGTGGACCTTGAGGGCCAGAGTTGTGAAGATCTGTATAAACACTAGATCCCTGGATACAGTGGCTCAATGATGTTAAAGAAGATTCTTACCCAGAGTTCCAACCTCAGTGCCAATGGCCTCGACCACAAAGTCAGCTGATTTGCCCACAATGCCCGTCTCCAGGCCTGGACCCCAAGCCCTCACCTTCTGAGGGCCTGCATCTTCACTTATGATCACCTCAGATGGGCTACACACATTTAGACGTTTTGATCAGAAGTGAGATGGTTGTTCATGATAATCGGCATAATTCCTAGATTATATCTTTCTGGAGTAACATTTCCATATCCTGTATGATCCTTTTAATATGGTCAAAGGATTTGAATATTTTCAGAAACAGAAATGAGACGATACCACAGTAAACTGGTGGAGGTTTATAAGCACCCTTACCTACGGGGAATGGCGTGGCCACCCCAAGTAATGGTGATAATGTATTTTCCAGTGAAAATGGGGTAGTAATCACATTCGTACACACCGTCTCCCAGGTCTTGCACCTTCACAGGCTCATCGCCACCTCCTGCAAAGACAAAATTTAATTCAGCTGACTAATTTTACGATGCAAAGTTTATTAAAACAGAAAAATCAACAATCATTGTTGCAGTCAAAACAGTTGCACGCATACTCGGCCCTTTGACTTGAACACGTAGTTCTCCACTGCCTGCTCCCTTCGTGTACACCTTAAAGTCGGCCACCTCCTTCACACGCACACCCTTGGGCTGCAGGCCACGCCCAATGGCCCGACAGGCATTCGGGTTACTCGCTACAAAGAAGAAAGAGCGGTTATTCTTGATCTCACAAGTTGTCAAAGTTGGTTATGCAAATGGACCCAGCCAAAGGTACGAGCAATGAAGAACAACCAAAGAATGTTTCATTTAAAAGCCTATGACAAAGCAATTAGCAATTTCATTAAGACCCCATTAGAAATGTAGTGAGACCAATATAATGAAAACTGCAGGAAAGCTGATCAGCGTTTTCGAGAGCTTATAAAAAGACTTAAAATAAACACAATATTTGCCATTAGATACAAGAACCAGTTTTGAAGGATATACCAAACTTTTACAATATTCAGCGTGAATGAAACATTTTTTTTAATATGTGGCTTACTGTTGGGGTTTGGTGTTTAACACTAAGTTCACTAATGAGCTCTTTTAGAGCAATAAAACGTCTATTAAAGCAGTCTGGCTAAGTTCTAAGTGCTTTCTCAGATCTGATCAAACAATTTCTTTTTCCAGTATCAGTTTCTTCCAGTGCTGGATAAAAAGGCAGACAAAAGCCAACAAAATCAAGTTATGTGAAAAAAAATTGGAAAAGTAGTGTTAATTGAATAATTAATGAGTTAAAGTTATTTAATTGTATATTTCGGTTAGGAAAATCATGTTAAGACAGAAAATCAAAGCATTCCCATTCTCTGAGTTAATATATATAGAGTGACACAGCCAAATCGAGCAACTGCCGAGATGATGATGACGACGATCATAATGACAATGGGATGAGGATGATGATCTCTGAGATGAAGATGACTGTATTACACGCCCAAACGGTCACTCAGACATTGGCTCTCTGATGCCAAATAAAGATCTGGCATCTTGATTTTGAGATTTAAAAATTGCAGGTGTAAAATAGATCAAATGTCAGTTTGAGTTAAAGTGAACAGTTTAAACAAGGGCTGATATAACACATTTAACACGAAATAAAATAAAATAAACAATCTAGAATTTTGATTGCGTAACATCTTCAGCCCTAATTTAAACCAGTTTGTTACGTTGTTAAATTATTTCATTCATATTTTTTAAATAATTAATTAATTATGGGATTTGGTTAAATTTGTTAAATTCTGAATTATTATTAAATTATAAATATTAGCAGAATCCAATCAAAAGTGGTGCTTGTGTGCTGAGCGTCTGTTAAGTGATCGTCCAGTCCCACCACTGAATGGTGGCTCTTTTTCTGCATCGGTTAAAACAAGACCAGCAGCAGCATTCACAACACTTGTCTAATCCTCCTCTTACTCTCATTCACACTCTCACTTTTACTCATACACATTTTCATCCCATCATTTCCTGTCTCTATCTGAGCTTCCTGTTGATTTAGCTGCCCCAGAGGGCAAAGCGCCAGCGCATGCCAACGAGCCAGAGGTGGTGTGCCTGAGAGGACACATCCAGGGTGAGGGGAGGAGAGGAGACAGGAGAGAGGGGACCAAGCTCGAGCAGGCATCTGCCACGCCCCCCGGGTGGCCCGTACTAACTTGGTCGCCTGGGTTTGGGTGGTGTTGGGGGAGGCATTTTCTTGGCCTTTTCTGAGGGCGGCGTGCGTATAGACTGAGGGATTATGTGAACCGGGGAGCCGATCTGCCGGCCGCTCGGCGGAGCTAGAACGACACACACAGGCGAAAGAGGAGAGAGGAAACACAATAAAGCGTTTCGTCATCATCGGGAGGGTGGTGAAACACTGGAGCAGTGAGCAAACGGAGCTCAAAACCAAACAACCTGGTCTCAGTCAGTGCCACAGAAAGCAGGTCTCTCTGGGAATTGTCCAGTATTAGTATGCTGTCAATCAAACAACTTTGAACTCATTACAAGAGGAAAATAAGCTCTTTAGGCACAAAATGCCACAACTGAAAAGACCAGCATTCTGAAACTTGTGTTTTGGGTGCTGGTCTTCAACAGTAAGCGAACCAGATTTACCAGTAAAACCATGCTAGTCTTTTCAACCGGGGCATAAGACATTTTAGAAAGAACGTGGCATGCTTTTAATGCAGCAAAAAACAACAATTCGAAGGCTCAGGCAAATAAAAGCACTTGTTGTTTTCTTGGTGCATTAAGAGCTTTGGTGTTAAACAATAATGTGACCGTAAAAAGACTGCAGGACTTCTAATTTATCAGGTATCATATTTTTTCAAGGAATTAAGATAGATCATCAGCCACAAAGTGAGGACATGTGTCTCACCCTCTGAGATGTGGACAGTGAAAGGGCTTCTTGGTATCTGCTGGCCAGCAAATGTCACATATATAGTGTGAGGGCCCTCCAGAATGGGGCAGTAAGTGCAGCGGAAAACACTGTCGCCCTTGTTTTCCAGAATGATCTCCACTGTGTCTCTGCGGCCCTGAGAGTCCACAATGATCACACCGACATCACCAGCTCCTGCACCTGAGGAGTCACAAATACATGAGGATCTTTAACTAGTCTCTAGTCTCACAGCAAACAGCGAGTAGCAACATTTCCCTGACATTACCTGCTGTGTAGATGTCAAAATAGGTGGGTTTATTGGCCACACTGCCCACCGGTTCCAAACCTGGCCCACGGGCCTGCACCTTGTTCGGGTCTCCCAGTGCTTTAGACACATTTACTAGGAAAGGGCTTCTGTCAATGTCCTGTCCAGCAAACAACACCTTCACCTAAAGAAAAAAAGAAATATCCCTCAGTTACAATCACTCCATTTCATCTGTCACAGTTAAAGGTCCTTTTGTTAAACCTTACAAAATGATGTCTGATAACAAGACCTAAGTAGAATTAAAAAATTTGATTTTCATAAATCTTGAACATCAGCATTGTTTATTATTTTGTTACCTTATGCAGACCCTCCACTTTTGGGACATAGACCACAGAGTAGCTCCTGCTCCTGTCATTGTTGGGAATTACTCTGGCCTGTGAAAAAGGACATATTAGTAAGACATTCACCAGGTAGTTGTTAAAACAGTTTTTTTCTTGTGTATCCCTGCAGTCCTATTAATAAGGCTCAAGTGTCTTATCCTCATTCAATAACAAAAAAACAGAAATGTGTTACTATTAAATCATATTAGATCAATTACCATGACATTTTTTATAATTATTTTTTTTATTTTATTTATTTAAAAAATCATGAGAATTAAATCATGAATTATTATTATTATTATTATTATTACAGGTTGAATAAAAGAAGATTAACTTATTTTTACAATGAAAGAAGTTTGATGAGTTAGAAGATGACCTCTTCTGTGTGGCCCTCTGGATCCTCAATGTACACCAACACCTCTCCAAGCCCGGCCTCCACAGTCTCCACCACAAACTCAGCTGGCCTCAACACAACGTTACCTTTGGGCTCAATACCTACCGAAAGATGCAAAGGTTTGAGTTGAGGTAGAGTAGTGTAAATGTTTTCTCTCATAATCGCTGTCTGTCATTCAGAAGTATTAACAAATTCATCTGTCAGTCTCACCTGGGCCGTAGGCCTTGGCTCTCTTGGGGTGCAGGGTTTTAGATCGCAGTGGGGCACCAGGTTTGAGTTTGGCTTTGGGGAACTGAGACAGGTAGGTCATCACTGAGTGCTCGTCCACGTTAGGATCCACAATCTCCTCTGGAGCAATCACCTGGATGGACAAAGTGCAAAATTAGAGGTCAGAAGACACACGCTACATACTGGTTGATCTCTGATCTCAGTCGTGATTTCTGGATGCCATTCAAGCAATATTTCTCAATCCAGCTCCTGGGGCAACCCGTGTAACACATTTTGGACGTCTTCCTCATCAAAAACACCTGATACAACTCATTATTTGAGTAGCAGGAGGAACATTGACCTGTAATGGCTGCATCAGTGAAACACCTAAAATGTGCATTGCTATAGCCCTCTGGAGAAGGATTGAAACAAAGAACCACGTCTCACTGACTTCATTTGACATTTTCTTCAAGCACTGTTACTGCCAGAATCATTCGTCAGATATAAACACAGCTCTATGCTGTGATGGTCTACGGCACAAAACTGATGAAGTACACAACGTTTTTAAAGCTGTGGAAAATATTTTCTGCCTCTCCTCTCCCCTCAGTCCCGTCTTTCATGTCCTGCTGGTTAAGTGTCCTGCTATATTTAACGCTAGGCTGGAAGGTTAAGAGCTAACTAGAAATAGCTCTAAATGGTATTTAACACAGCAGAAAGACAGAAGTAGAGATTGAACGAGAGAACAACAGGGACAGGAAAAGAAATATGCACCTTGTTATTAAAACCCATAATTTAAAGCTCTACCTCTCCTGCTGCAGCAATAGCCTACATGCTCAAAGCATCCAATGACCTACTGTTTCTCTCAATAGATGTGGACTCTCTATTTATCTCAATTACTCAAACACAAATTTGTGTTCTAGTGTATTCTTTAAAGATAAGTTGAAAAAGATTTCTGCATGGCAGTTACACTAAGGCAGACTGTCTGTACTATCATTTGGTAAGCAATAAAAATAGATCTGCTGTTGACAGTGCAGTAAATATCTCATATATACTACCGTTCAAAAGTTTTGGGGTCTAAGTCTCTTATGCTCACCAACGCTACATTTATTTGATCAAAAATACATTAAAAAACAGTAATAATGTGAAACATTCTTACAATTTAAAATAACATTTTTCTATTTTAATATATTTAAAATGCATTTTATTTCTGTACTGTCACAGCTGAATTTTCAGCACATGATCCTTCAGAAATCATTCTAATATGCTAATATACATTCTATGCTATAGATTTGGTGCTCAAGAAATATTTCTTATTCTTATCAATGTTGAAAACAGTTGTGCTGTTTAATATTTTTGTGAAAACTGTAATACTTTTTTAGGATTCTCTGATGAAAAAAAAAGAACAGCATTTATGTAACATTCCTTTTGTAACATTCTAAAAGTCTTTACTGTTACTTTTGATCAATTTAAGGCATCCTTGCGGAATAAAAGTATTAATTTCTCATGTATAGAAACTACTGAGCATTATGATGTTACATGCAAAAACATTTGAAAAAATTAAATAAATACATTTAAGGCATTTAGATAGCAAGTACATGGTTTAGAAAGAAGTAATACTATAAATAAAAAAAATACAGTTGAACCTAGTGCAAATAAGTCAACGTGAGAGAAAAAGGAGAGCTTTGAGTCTACATCTGAATTAAAATATTTTAATCAGATTTCAAACCACCTAGAAATGTGGCACTGACATATTTTGCTGTTCAGCCTTCAAAATCTAACCAGTTTAATGTTTAATATGCCAAAAATTCTCATTTGTACAGTCTGTGTGAACAACACCCCATATTCTTTTACCCTCTCTGACTCTCTCTTACACAAACACACATACTCAGAGGATCATTCAAAATAATGAGGTCATAATATAATTTCAGCAGCTATGAGCTACTACAAAACAGCCAGTCCTGCTCTGCTAAAGAAGAAAACATTCTCAATCAGGCTAAATAGCATGAGTCCTAATAAATATAAGTGATTGCTTCTTACCTGAGGCACACCGAGCCAGTCGTCGGCTTGTTGCATGGCTTCTTTTGCATTCTCCACTGGCTGACTCGGGTCCCATGTCTCCCAGTCCGGACACAGGCCTTAGATGGAGACAAAGACAGCAGAGTTAGCAGACTGATGCAAAAAGTTAGTCAACTCTTGCTAAAACCATGAGAATCATGTAGGTTCTAAATCAGAATTCCTACTGTATAGGACTAAAATGCACTCTTACTTTAAAATTATCCTGCATATTGCTTTATAGATGAACAGAGAAGAGCCAGATCTGAGCTTTATCTTGGGCTGCAGACCCACTGTTCCACAGCAGGGATCTATTAATCTATGTTCTTTAGTTCAACTTGACCTTAAATGCTCTCAAATGAGCAGTTTCCCATCACTTCACCCTTTTTCCCAATCTTTAATAAGCGTGGTCAGGCTCATAGCTCCGAACGCTTCCCTGAAGGAAACACGCACCAATGCCGTCTGGACTAAAACTGTTATTATATGCTGGATTACACTCAAAGAGTAAGAGGTGTTTAGTTCAAATGGAACCAGAGAGCCTTGAAACCACAAGACTCCTCAACAACTGCCAAAACGTTAATATCAGATGTAGGATTGTTTTCCAAGAATCTCCAGGCCTGCGGTCGGACAGTGAGTATCTGTAACAGGCCCCGTGCTACTGCTAACACTGATAAACCTTTAATTTTAGGTTTTTAATGCATTTAAACTTGCCAAGAGTGGTATTTATTTACAGTACCCTGCAGATCCAAAATAGCGGAAAACAAATTAGATGGAGGAAACTTCAGGGGAGGTAAATAAAGTGTGAGACAGTCTGTATGCAGTTATTTTTGGAGGAAAACCATAGTTAACATAACTAGAGAATCGAATACAGTTCACTTTCCTTTTATAAATCATATAACCTAAATCAAATGAGAAAAAAATATATCATTTGAAAAGGACTGATCATAACTCGACGTGCAAATGTTACAATAAAATTATAACTGACATTAGATTTACAGTGATTTGATCATTCTTTCCGTGCAAGTCCGAATATTTTAAAAAAATATCAAGTTTAAAACTTTTGCTAATAAAAAAATATAATTAAAAAATGAAATATAAGGGTTTTCAATATAGTGTGATAAACACATAAGCGCTGAAATACTAAAAAAAATACTTCATCTAACTTTTTTCTGGCATCATTAATGCTAAGAGATACTTTTCCACACATGCACACAGGGAAAAATATAATGAAATGCATGTTGGCAGGAAATGCATATAGAAGCATGTGTTTTCACTTAAGCATGTTTGCTGTCTTAGCCTCTGACACTTTCCATTCAGTTACAGCCCAGACCAGGGGCTCATTAGCAGCTAGCAGAGCCAACAAACTCAACTCAACACCTGAAACTTGCAAAGATGATGCATCTTTCACCTCTCGCATTGCTTCTCCTCAGGGTCACAATATCAGCCATACCTTTTTAATTTGAAGACAATGGTTGTGTTTTATAGCAGTGTCCTTCAGTTTGTCAGCATAGAAGTCATCTGATCTAGTCATCTCATCTGATCCCTTGCTGGACTCGAACCCTCAAACTTTCAGTAAGCAGCCCTTTCACTCACTACCTAAACCACTTCTACTGATGAATCAATCGAAATATCTCTGTATTACAAGCTGTTTTTGACACCAGTCAAATCCCAGTTCAACACTTACAATGATATTGAATGTTAAAGCAGCACATCTAGTTGTGGCCCATTGTGTTGACTGTACAGCTGCCTTTCACCCACCACCACATCTACACCTGCTCTCTTTACTAAAGTTGACAAAAGACAATGAAACTGCTGTTTGTGCTTGTCAAACATGTTGAACTCTTTAAGAACACACCTCAAAATGTCTTGTCAGAAGAAGGAAACATTTCAACACATGCTAATGTGATTCATACATTTTTTTAACGAAAGACAAATCGAAGGATATGTGGCCAAGTCCTGAGTCATGAGATATTCACAATGCCAGAATGGCTGCTTTGATTATGTAGTTGACAAGGACAGACATGCACACTTCCAAATGGACTTGACCCATCCATTAAACCCTCTCTGAACTGCATGGGATTCAGGATTTCTACTAGAGTAAGTTCAAACCTATCCAGAGGTATTTGATTCATTAATTATGTTTTGGAAAGCAGTGATCACTGGTTTTGAGGTCACTAATTGTACTCCACTTCTCTTGGTCTTTCCACAGTGAGATCATATGCTGTAATTATCAAACCAGCTTCCCATCTCCTAGGGCAATGCAGATTCTGCATGACTCTTGACATCTCCCTGATGAGTGTTACTGATACCTGAATCTACTTAATGAAGCTAATGAAAAGTTTTCCATGTAAGACCATATGTGATTAATGTACCATGACACATTTGTCGCCAAGCGATCATAAACCACAGAATTCTGCTCACCAGGTGCGCAATTATCCACCAGGGCACCGAGGGCTTTGCCATCTCTCCAGTCCCTGTGGAAGTTGTTGATGGGCAGTTGGGGGACCTTGTTTTGGATCCAGCCCAGAAGGCGCTGTTTGGGTGTCAGCTTCCTGGCATCTTCATCGTCCTCATCCTCCCACATGGGCATGGAAATGGAGTAGTGCAGGATAAGGGTCCATATGAGCCCCAGGATCAGTTTTAAGTTGCCGTCCACTATAGCTTTACTATCTGCAATGAGAAAGAGAAAGATTTAAATGTATTATTCCACACATGAGCACTGAAGCACCTTTTGTAGAGATACTGGGAATCATAAAAAGACAACGAGCAGAAAACCATACTGTTTTTGAGATTATTTTAGATCTAAGAGTTTCAATGCTTGGCTTAGGAAACCATTAAACAATCTCAGGTTGGTTTTTATTACTCTTGTGGTGCTACAGTGAACATATATTAGTTTAGGGTGAAGATCAGAAGCTCAGTGAAGTTCAGGGTGAACTGAAGGGGGAGTGGTCATGTCAACATACAGTACACTAGAAAAAAAATGTTTTCAGGTCAAATATGAGCTTAGGATACATTGCTAACATACTGTCCCTACTCTACCTTGCCTGAAATAATGACAACACCTGTGTTTATTTTTCATATGTCCTCCCTAGCATTGCTTGTTGTATTTGAGCCACCATCATGCCATTATTTGTTTATTCAGAGAAATTCGCAACACACTCTTTGTTCCGTTCACCTGCTGTGTTGATAGCTTTCACAGGTTTAGATGTGCACAAATAAACAGCAAGGACAAACTCTCTCGGCACGGGCATTATGGCCTACTAAAACAATTACATAGGTAGACTATGATCCTTTATTCACTCAAAGTTGTGAAGCAAACCTTATGCTTCACATACGGTACATATTCGTGTCCCATTACTATCCAATTACAATGTAATAAAGACACAAATCCCTTGTTCTTTTGCGAGATAACCTATGAATGTTATGTATCTAATATAAAATTTAAATAAATAAAAATTATTAGAAAACAATTGAATAATAAAATAAACTGATCATTTAATTACATTAATTAAATATATTGTTAATTACAATAATTAAAATTAAAAAGACAAATCTAACACAAATTAAGGTATTAAACTTTGTTTCAAAAATATAATATAATATGCAGTCCCAAATATGGGTAATGGTGAAATCCTAATAAAAATAGCAAAAAAAATGTTTCAAGCCCTATTTTACCCAGTTATTCATAGAAAGTGTCACATGCACTTTTTACTCGTAACCTTTACCCAAATCTTTCACTACACTGCTTTGCTACAGACAACAGACTCTGGACTGCAGCGTGGAATATGAATCAAGATGGGCACTACTAAGCCACTGACTGAATGCCAAAGGCTGATGTCATTTAACCCTGGATCTTTGGAATTAGGTCAGTTTAAATAAAACACACACACAGATGAAACTTAATCGGGACACTGGCTGAATCCGACTACACTTTGCTTCAACCCCCAGCGGAGCTGTCTGCACTAAACGCTGCAATGTGCGCAGCGGTCTGGCAGTAATCCAATATCTCCAATCAAATAATACTGCCAGGTCACTTTCTGTTTTTCTCTCTCATTTTTGCCTCGCTGTAATCAAACGAGTTCCAGATCAAATTCTTCACTTTTCTTTGATATATTACTTTTGAGATTTTCTCATACATTTGGTGAGGACAGTGTGTTACGCTCACTGTGGCCCTCTCTCAAGAACAGGGTTTAATGTTTTTGGGTTCCTAGGCGCTCTAGATGCATAAAGAGGAATGCATCCAGACATTTATGTGCACTCTGCATCAACGCCAAGCCCAACAGAAAGAGACAGGGAGAAAGTATTTGGCAATGTTTTTGATATGTGTTCTTAGGAAAGTATAGAAAGAGAGAATAAGAGAATGATAAAAGTCAAAGAAAAAAGCAGAGTACAGTATTAATATTTCTCTTCCTTATTAATTTGTAATATTTTGCACATATGTATCTATCTATATATGTATGTGTGTGTGTGTGTGTGTGTGTGTGTGTGTACACGCAAAATATTATGAATTAATAATTGCGCATCAGTGAATGTGTGAACCTTTTGTAATAGTTTTGAATAGTTGTAAGAGTCCCTCAGTTGTCATCACTGTGGACATTTGGATCTCAAAATCATACAGTCTCTGCTAGAAAGGGTTCAAATATGAAAAAGATGCTGGAAATCCAAAGAATTTGCAGGACGTAGATGATTTTTCTGAAGAACAGTGGGCTCTTTATCTGTCCAGGACTAACAAGAGACTCATGAACAACCATCACCAAGAAGAATAAAAAAAGTTGTGGATCATCAGGTAACAACACACAATATTAAGAATCAAGTGTATCTAAACTTTTGAACGGTCATTTTTATAAACTCACCTATTATTTTGCCTTGTGGCCTATATGTAAATATATTATGTAAAATATCTTATTCAGGACAGTACTAAATAAATAAATAACATGCATTTTGTATGTGTATCTCAAGTTATTTTCCTCCATTTATGTACATTGCTTTGCACTGTTTTTGTACAGTGCAATGTAGAATTATTTACCATGCCAAAAAAGCTGAAAAAAGAGGAAGAAAAAGAAGTCAAAAGAATAAAGAGAGAGGACAGCAAGCACACAAAGACACAGCTCAGCTGTTTAACACTCGCATCATTTCTTGTATCAAATATCAATAAACAGGTGTGTCTCGGCTTCTATTGTTTGCCTCAGGGGATCTAGATCCTCATCTGACAATATACAAAATACATACAATATAAAAGGTCTCAGTATACATATCAAAGCTGACAGAGTAGGTGCACGCATACACTGAGCAATCACAGACAGCTATGTGGTCTACTTTTCCAAAAAGCTCCTTATTAGACAGAGAATTTTCAGATTTACACCTAAGAGAGTGTGTTGGTTTTAATTCCCAATATACCGAATCTCTTTAATCTTTTCAAACCACCCTGAGGAGACCCAGCAATGTGCGCCCTGACAAAACACAAACTCCTGAAGATAAGGCACATTGTTCAACATACAGCACCAGCAAAACAGCTGGATTCAAACACACTTAATGAAAGACATCAGAACTAAGTGTTTCCTTCAGATGACAAAGCGCAGTGGCTGTAAATTAACCCTTTTTGAGGAACCGCTGATGACATGAGCCAGGAATTCCAGCCAGCTAGGGTACAGCACCACCACATAATGGGCAAGAAAACAAATATGGGATCAGAGCCTGGGAAAAGACCATTTAGGACAGTGAGAAAGGAAGGGATAGCTTACAGAGAGTGGGGATAATTTAGAGAACAAGTAGAAGTGTTTTCTCATTTGTCTCACTCCAAAATGAGGTGACAGGTTGTTGGCCCATTCGATTTCTTTCTACATTTTGTGAATTAATAATTAAAATAAATAGTTATGAAAGGAAAATCTCACCAAAATGTTGCACAAGTTAAATCACTTTTATAAACTAGATAACTAGATTAAAACTAGGCAGTCAGTGTTGTTATTGTTAACTAAAATTATTACAAATAATTTTCATAAATTAAATTAAATTAAATTATAAAATATTAGATGAAAAACTAGAAATGTTGCAACTAACCAAAATAAAATAAGTTTTGGTTTAATTTATAAAATTACTAAAACTGAAATAAGATGTTAATTAATTAAAGCTAGGAATATGTGCATTAAAAATATTTTAAAAATTAAAAAAATTAATAAATAAATGACAAGCATATAACAAAATTACCAAAACTAAAATTAAAATTAAAACTGCAAATATAAAAACAAAATCTAATTCAAAATATTAATAAATACTATAATAGTATATACATAATGCTACAATATCACTGGTGGTGATTAAATATTTTAAGATATTGTTCAAATAAATAACTGTAATTATGAAATATAATGAAATCAAGCTTGCTTAAGCACATCTCATTATAAATATGAAGAACAGCAGTACTGCTTCACAAGCTCAATCCGATGTGTGAATGTAGCATATCTCTGGCAAATGGCTCTGTGAGTAATGAGACACTTTCCTAACCCTGATTAAAGCCAGTCAGGATCATTCACATCCTCCCACCGCTGAACCACACCAACAAGACGAGATAAAAAATAATGAAACAGATGCTGGAAGCATTTTATAAGCCACTGTTGGCAAAAGCTATAGAAGAAAACACATGTAATGGTGTTGCTGCAGCGAGTACTGATGCATTCATCTTGAGTCCAGCTGTTGGTGATTGCTGCTCTTTTCAACTAACAGCAATTGCTTAGTTTCACTGATGAACACAGCATATTGTCATTGTTTGGAAGTTCTTCAAAGGAGGGAATTCACTAAGAATGGACTGTGCTGGCTGATAGTGCTATTTGCATGCAGTGCTTGGGTTGTTTTAGCGACCAATTCAATAAGGGAATTATGAACTGCCGCAAACTGCTTACAAATTTGTGCTGAATGCATGCTGCTATTTCCCATCTTGCAGGCTAGTTTTAAGTGCAAGAATGTGGCGTTTGCAGCAGACAACTTGTGCCTCTCTATAAACATTATAACTTTTGGCAATGTCAGAATCAGGAGAATTGGAATTTTCATGTCAAATTTTGAAAACAGAATTGATTTTTTTCTGATATTTTTTCCAAAAACCTTTGTTTCGCAATGATTATGGTTTTCACTGATTCAATCGTATCGTACCATCTTTGTTAGCCATTTCTTATATAATTTCATCATACATATTTACAGTTTATAAAATTTCTAATAAGATCTCTGTCATTCCGTGTTGCACTTTGAATTATTTGAACATCGGCCAGTGACGCCATCAGAAATTTCTACAGCTCAGAGATGCATCAGATGATTGTCGGCTGTTGCTTAGGGTGACCAAACAAACATTGCTGTCTCCCTGGAGGAGATAGAATGTTTGCCATGGTCACTAGGACAGAAGAGACAGAGACAATGGCTTCTGTGTGGAAGAGACATTCTGCCTCAGGAAATATGCAGCCTACACCCACACAAGCATATGAACAAACACACACACACATAGCTTCAAGAGGGAATGTATAATAAATGAAGCTCTTTTGTTTCACAAACTATAAAGACAAACTAATCAATCAAAACAGAATAAACAAGAGTAAAGGCAAGAGCTGCAAAATTAAAAACAAGCTGGATTAATAAATGAGAAAAAAAGATGCATGCACAGAGCAAACAGTAATTAAAGGTTCAAA